GTTTTATGCCAGGCGCTCTCTGCTGTGCGGCGGCGAGGCCTGGTCTTCTCACTTAGCATCTCCGGAGCTAACCGGGCATGTTGTATGAGGAGGCTGCGTTAAGCACGTCCTGTATTTCTAACCATAATAATCTGGTTTCAGTTTTCCTTAAATATACCCCTTACACCTATTCTAAAGCCCAGAAAATATTCACACCTAACATTTTCAAAGTGCCTGTGTCTTGGGGGTCTGTAGCACCAAGGAGGATGGTTTCCCTAGGGTGCTTTGAGTAGCAAGGGAACTGTTGGCATTATTGTATGAGACTTACCATTACTATAAGACTTTTATTTTCCAATTTAGAAAAAAGGGAAGTCGTAACACAAACTTCATTATGTGACATAGATGATCAGGTGACAGAAAGAAGCACAAAAGCTTTCATATTTACTTTTCATACACAGGTGAAACTGTAGATCATGAATGTTTCTAAATATTTGGCTGTTCTCTGAAGCTACAAAATGATATTACAAAGATGGCATCTGTGTAGCAAACTTATCAAAAATCTTCAGAATTTCAAAAATACCATCTCTTTTGTTCAGTTCACCTGGGCACGAAAAAGATATGTACGTTCAAAGGTGAAATTTCCTAATCAGTACTTCATTTCATCACAGTGGCTCGACTCTGGTGAAACAGGCAGCTTCTCTTGAAATTTGTTCATACTGTGGAAATTTAGCCATTCTCTTCCACATCTTTCTTCTCTAAAAAGTGTTGGCTTTTTGTTTTGGGGGGGTTTTCTGTGTTTTGTTTTTTGTTTTTTTTTTTTTTTTTTTTCATTTTCCCCCTCTTGTTCACCTATTGAGAAGAGCATAGCTGGAGGAAAAGGAAAAAATATCAACTAGTTGTACCAATTCATAATCAATAAAAATCTAAACACTTAAGCAGAAAATATATCACAGATTTGTTCCCCAGCAAAGCAGCTATTTTTACCTTGCCATCATCATCAGAAGCCACATTCTGACAGAAATCATTTGCTTGAAGCAGACGTGCTGCCTAAGCCGTATGTGGTCTTGTGATTCAGATTTAGGAATATCAAGCCACAGAGGGTCTAAAGGCATTGTACATTAGTATGTATTGAGACCTCATTCCAGGTGGCAAGCAGCTGGGCTTTTAAAAAATAAAACTTCCAAAATAAATGTGAAGTGCTTGTTTCCCGGCAATAAGTGTTATATTTAATTGAATCATCCTCAAAATGTTATAAATTAGGCAGCGAAGGGAGTTGTGCATATTTAATATATTTGTTTTGTATCTCCACTAGTCAACAGAATAATGAAATTCCTTAACTACTTCTCTTTAACTTGCATGAAGAAAGCACGGTATGTTGCTAAATCTCTTTTCAACAGCACTGTGGAGAAACAACTTTAATCCTTGTTAGAAAATTGCCGAGTCTGGGACTGACAAAGAGCTCATGCTTGTTCCATTGTCAGTGCTCCCTGGCCCCGAGAGCAGAGCCCTTTACAGCTGCGTGGATCCCGCCCGGCTCAGCTGCCCTATTTAGGAGAGGAGGTTTGTCAATTTCTATTGACAATGGAGAGAGTTTTTCAGGGCCTGTAGCAGTGCTGACACAGTTGGGGATCAATGCCAGCCATTCAGACTGCACCCTCTTTCATTGCTTTGGTTTGTTAATTCAAGACTAAAGGTCCGCTGAGGGGGTTCAGGGTGTTTAAGAAAGCTGATGAACTACAAGCGTTTATAGCCCTGGTGTGGCAATTTCCATAGGCAGTGGCAACTCCTGGCTCTGAAGGAGCTGTGTCCTTGTTGACCCTCTTGTTATTAAAAATGCACAAGTGCTGCGCTTCTCAATATTTCAACACTCTTTCATTGTCAATACCACCTTCTGAGCCCTTCAGCTTGTTGCTTGCTCTAAAGATCTTCTTAGATTGGGTTTGAAAACTTCACCTTAAACACTAGATTAGACTGATGTTCTGTTTTCCGTGCTCCTGTTGATTTGTTGAACCTTCCCAGGGCTGGAAAGCAAGTAGCAGCTTGATGGGGAGACGGGCTGCTAATATGATTTACCAGTCTACAGTCATGTACAATAAGTGTGAATAAATACAGGGGTCTCGCAGAGTCAACTCTAGCCTTTCCTTTTCTTTTATTTTTGCTTTAAAAGAGATATCTCAAGAAAATGAAGTGAGTAATGCATGCCCTTACAGGAGTTGAATGAACCACAAAAAGAAAAAAAAGCATATTTTTTGTTAAAGTGGTAGGCTGCTGTCATGGATTGATGTAGAAAAAAAAATGTAGAATATACACTTACTGCTTTATTCCTAAGTAGACCGAAGCAGAGGATAAAGCAGCCATGCGGTACCCATGACTTCAGAGCAAGTTACAGCACCCCTTCTTTGCCAGCTCCTGAAAGGAAAAGTGAATAGTCAACCAAGTGGTTTCAGAAAATTAACTTTTCCAAAACGAAAGGACATTTTGGAACACTCTGACTTCATCGCACCTTCTGCATTTTTCAAATGTGTCTCCTTTCTTCCCTTTGTGTTGAAGGGGTTGTTTGGGTGGGAAGAAGCCACCTCTGAGTTTTTCTCAAGATGAAAAACTGGGACCTGCCAGCCTCCATCACCAAAGGCAGCGTTTAAATTTCAGCACCAGAAATAGGGCAGCGCTAGAGATAACTATTTGGAGGTCTGTTTGGTTGCTTGGGGGTGTGTATACAGAAAAGTAGCCATCCAGTGGGGCTCTTTTTTTTTTTAACCTATTCTTCATAGCAACAGAAACTCTAAGCTAAGCTGCTGAAATTCTTCAGATGCTCAGACTTGAGAACCAAAAATAAAACCTTATCCGATAGAATGATTTTTCTTACAGAATTTTTCTTATAAAATTATTTGTTTGTCCTTAAAGCGATGGTAATGTAGCATAAACCTTTTGCTTATAATCATTTTCTTTTTTCTCTGTTTTTGTAATTAGAACATTTTATTACCAAATTATTTTTCTCTAAATTTATGGTTTGTTGTTGTGTTAAAGGAGTTTAGGATACTGACAATAAATATCTGTGTCACATGAGAATTCTTTCATTTATCTCTTAACCATAAGCACCATTTATATAAAACAGGAAAACACAGTTAAATTTTAAATTATGTATTTTAAGAATGCAAAAACCCATACTGAGTAATTCATGAAAGTGTTTTCATTTCTTTTAAATTTGTACAATTTACTATGTATGGTAGCTAAACAGACGAATAGACTAGCTAGTGTACTATGTAGACTTAGTACATGTCATAGCCCCCCAACAAAAACAGGGAAAAAAATATCTTTCCAACAAGGATTGAAATTTGACTCAGATCCGTCGTAACTACACCTTAGCTTTCAGATTTATCTGGACAGAGATGTGGGAGTGAGATTCTTAATTCAGCATATTCTTATTCAGTGTATCCAATATCTGTGTTTACCTGTATTAAAATGAACTCAAGATACAGAGTCTATAAATACTTTGAAATAAGTACAGAAATAATGTCATAAGTTAGACTAAATAAAAGGCTTTGAGATTTAACATATCAGCTGAAGTACTAAATTTCACTACAATAAAACAAATTTGTTTTATGAGAATTTATGAGTGCCCATACCTCATTTCATAAAACTTATTTCTGACACATTTGCATGTACTAAAAATTAAGAAACTAATCATGAAGGGGCAAAATTGGGTCTATGAATAACATTTTTTAAATTTATAGTCTATCCCACATTTTAAAAACTTGATCATGCATCCATGAATAGCTTAGTATTTAGTAAATCAGTTACTTGTTTTAGTAGCTTATCTCTGCATGAATGTGACTAACTCATTTTTGATTTCTGCTTAAAATACTGTTTATACCTAATTTTTAGAACAATATTAGTAAATACAAATCCAGGTGAGTTGCAGACTTTTATCACTGGAGATTCCTCTTAAAAATTGAATTCCACTCTTATTATGTGAAGAAAATGTTTTTTAAGAGTTTTTCTGTATTTGAATACTTATGTGCATATGCACACTTGTGATTTCCTCAGTGGGGAGTGGATTTTGATAGTTCTCAGGGATATCTGAATCAATCCTATTATTTTTACAGTATCACATAAACTTATCTATCACTGGCACCTAGATTCTCTCAAAATATCACCTCGAATGGCAGACTGTCATTTTTAAAAAAGGAACAGAATTTCTCCTTTTACTGTTATGTAGGAACAGGACCCATATTAGAGAAGAATTTCAGTTCTCCCCTCAAGAGTAAAATATGAACCCTTTGAACACACTTGCAAAATAAAACAGAGCCTTCTCTTCCATGCCGTGTCAACAGACACCTGTTTTGTATTCTTTTAAGACACTAAAATTCCATTCTGATAAGCATTCCTTCCTGGGAACTCAACTGTATTTTAGGTGGTTTGAAAACATTTTGCCAAGTACTTAATAACCTATAGTAGCGAAAGGTGTAACTGAGGATTACTGCTTTGTGAGCTGTGGGTATTTTTTGCCATCTCTCCTTTAAAATGTTATTTGTAGGTTTTGGCTACATGCCTTGTGGCATAATGCATCTACTCTTTGATTTTTCTATAGCGTGCAGGCTAATAGGAAACTTTCCTTTGAAAATAATTTACCTGTGTTTTCCTGCTGTTCCACAGTCCTTTCAGCCCAGTAACATGTATTTAGTAGCCATTGTTACCTGCAAATTACAAAGCAGGCTGCTGGCTGCCAGTGCAAAGACACTGTTTCCCATGAATGTGTTACAGCTGTAAGACGTTCATGTTGATTCATGGAATGGTAATGTTGATGTGTGGAAAGAACAGCCTAGGTCATCTTAGCAGATTTTCTAGCAAAACATACAATTCTGTTAACAGGAAATTATAGCATTATTGACTTCAAGTGCTTATCTGTGGTCATTTCCGAGTGTCTCATTACCCCCTCATTACCAAATCTGCTCAACGAATACTGTAGAGGATCTTTTCTTTTTTGTTCTCCTCCCCTCTGTCCCCATCCTCCTTTCCAGCAATGGTACAGCAGTTCCATGAAAGTCATTTGTGTGTGGTTGGCTGATAGATTAGACCTTCAGCTTCATATTTACCAACTGAAGACGCTCATCAAGATTGTGAAGGTAAACAAAATGTGTTTAGTTGTGAATTGCCAACAAGCTAGAAAGAATAGCTTGATACTGACATACAAGACAGTCATATTTGATATAACTGACTGGATACAAATCCTTTGAAAACACTTTTAGTGACGATGTGCTGCTGTTTGATTCCATTTTTGCTAAATAACCAATTTTTTTCTTTTTTGCAGCAATAAATAACCACATTCTGTTATTAAGTAATTGCACTTTAATGTGTATATAAAATGCCAACACAAGAATCTGAACATAGGAGGTCCACAATACATTTGTATTAATTTTATTAAGTATACAAGTGTTTTCTCAAACACATTTCCTTCATATTGATTCAATCATACCATGATGCAAGCTTTTGAATTTGATGTGCCACGAGATAAGGGATGTTGGCATTATTTTGGTGTATTCTGATAGGAAAGTAATAACTACCACTGCCAGGATTCTCTGGGAAACTTAACCACTCTCCTGTGCAGGAGATGATGAGATGAAATGTTGGGCCCACCAGAACAGCAAACAGATATCACATCAGTTCAATTGGGCCGTTTTTACTTTTGTTCTTCCACAGAAAAAGTAAAAGCATACAAACACTGTTTAGTGAACAGGAATCTTAAAAATAATGTGTTAATTGACAATGATTTTTCACATTTTGCACATTCTAGTGGAGGAACATAATTTACCCCAAGTATAACTTTTTCTTAAATTTGAGACAAAACGTACCCACTAAAAACAAACTCTAAGCTATTGAGAATCGCCTGTACCTTTAAATAGATGGTCTGTACTTACTTTTTAGCATCATTACATGTGTGTGCACATACCTGTGTATGTTTATGTGCATGATTCTCTAAGTGGCATTCCTCACCTAGCATTTTTGGTGTTACCTGGAAACTGGTCAGACATGCAAATTCTAGGGCCCTCCCCCAGTCCTACTGAATCAGAAGCTCTGAGGATGGGGCCCAGTACACTGTATCTTAACAAACCCTCCAGCTGATTCTGATAGACGCTAAAGTTTGAGGGAAACCCCTTACTACATCATTAAAAGAAATTTCGATCCGTGTTAAAATATGTTCTGTCATTCTCTTAGTTTCTACCATCTAAATAGAATATAAACGCCTTGTGCCAGATACACACAGACTGAAAAACCCACAAGTAGGAAAGTTCTGTTCTAAAGTCAGAAATTGGCAGATATCCTGGAATGTAGACCCAGACCTATAATGTCACCATTATAGCAATCATGATTATTCACAAATAGCAAGCAAAAGTATAGCCACCCACTAATTTTTAATACTACTAGACATGTTCCATTTCAATGAACAAAACACCTTTGATCCAGAATACATCTATCCAGGTGTTATTTGTTCTGCAAGGAAACAGAAAGTTTGTCGAGATACATTTGCATTTGCCTTGGTTGGCTCATTATTTCCTCCCTGTTTCTACAGTCGTGACTTGAGCTTTCAAATCAAGTTTGAAGTTGTTTGTTTGTTTTTATAAAAGAGATTAGCATGATCTGTGTTTACCCCCTGATTATATGTGTATGTTAAGGCTGCAGTCACTGCTGTGACTAGCACTGGGTTTTGCTGGTTAATTTATGATCAAGAATATTTCCAAGTTAATCTCTGCTGCGTTCAGGCTGTCAGAGAGGACCTCTTCAACCAATCAGCGTGACTTGATAGACTATTAAACTTTCATTTTGTTCTTAGAATAAATCCACCACTTTTCATTAGCCCATCTTTGTTTCTTTCAAAGTTACTCCTTTCTCAAATTTACATGTCACTTTTCAGTGAAAGCTCAAGCACCAGTGAATATTTTAGCAGAAAAAAATCATTAATAATTTTGTGGATTGTCAGGTGACATCTCTTTTGTGTTCTGAGGAGATCCATTTATCTCCTGGTTCTGAAGAGTGATGAATTAATATAATCTCCATTATGGTTTTCAATAGTCAAGACAGATAAATATGAAATTCACTGTCACCACTGTGTTTCGCTTCCCAGGTTGTGTTTTTCACAAGCAGGTGCCCACCAGTGCTTTCTTGGGCTGCTACTTTTAGTCAAGTCACACTGGGCGATAGTCATTTAAAATGATTATTTGCACAGGGCAAAGCAGGATGAATTAATAATCGAGTGTTCTGGTTTTTCCCACTTGGCATATAAATAGATAGTTGCCTATTTCATATATAGATTCACCACTCTTCGGAACCTATGTGGTTATGTTTATAAAGATCATTGGCCAGTGAATTTAAAAAACAAACTATTAAATAGCACATGTGCAGGAATGAACAGACCCTGAGCAGGCTGCCCACCCCAGGTGACTCAGACTTGGCCTAATCAGTCAACAGCTCGGTCCAGTCTGGTTCCTCCTCCCAGCTTGTCACGCTTCTCTGCCCATGAAGACCCAGAGACCCTCATGATTTATAACCGATGTTGCTTCACAAAGACTCTAAGAACTAGTTGCTTCATTCACACATTGTCCGTTATGAAAAAAAAAAAAAAAAACACATCCCAGTAAGATTTTCACCAAAAAAAAAAATATTTACCAGGTTTTAATATCAGAATGATTTCCTTGGAGAGGGGAATAAATAATCCTCAAATAATCAAAATGACTAATGAATTTGTGTTCTCCTTAGTGGGCTGAGGACATGTAAAAGCCATTAAAATAAACCAGTTGCCTCTTTCACCTGAAAAAGCAGGTGAGCGGCTCTCTGTGGCAGGCGCTTGTCTGACGTAAGCACCACACAGATTTCCCTTGGCAATACAGAGGATGTTCAAGTGTCAAGAGTATTTTTTATGAGTTCTGGAAGGATTATAAGGGTACCTGTGCTCTGACTCCCCTAAACTGCTTGTTGTTTGCTAATAAAATAACAAAGTGGGATCTTAATTATATATCAATTTGAAAGACATCAGGAGGAGGGTTCCACAATACAGACCTGTCCCAGTCAAGTTCTTTAGCATTCGTTTAGGTTTAAGGAAAGTTATTTCAATAAAATAAGAAATTAGGACTCACAGAGTAAAAATATAAGGTTGATGGAGCAAAAATACTTTATATCAGATGCTTCATCTACAGATGAATATATTGTATGTTAGATGTATTTTTAATCTCACCATGTGAGCCTGTTATAAATTTGAACCTGGGTATCTTGGATCATACCATGTGTGTCAGTTACCAGATTCTCTAGACAAAACTTACCGTTCAGAGTTAGGCAAGTTACCGTAAGTTTTGGTGTGAGAGGAACCACCTTAGGAATACAAGCTTTTGGACTTTTCAAATACAAGTTTTATTTATAACAAGTGATTATCAAAATGAAAAATTTTATTTACCCTCTCTGTTATTTTGGATATCACTTCTGAAACTTGGAATGATACCCAGGACTAGGAAGATTAAAATGTGAAAACCCTAAGGGCCCTACTACCTTGTAATTGTGCTATTTTTCTCAGAAACCTGTTAGTAGGTCAGGAGTGTATATCAAGGGGATTAATGTGCAATCCATCTGTACTTCCTACCTCGCGTGAATAAGCATCTTCTACTGAACTGAGGGTAACCAAGCACCCTTAATGTTAATTACCAGTTGCTGGAGTTGTAATATTGGAAGTACAACATTCCTTCTTCCGTGACTGTTTTTGTCTATTAGGGAAAATCCAAAAAATAATGACTACTCATATTACTTAATACAGAACAGTGGTGCAGTATGATACAGTGCTGACACTTTGGGGCCAGTGCATTGAAGTTCAACTACATAGTATTGCAAATCTAACAAAGAATAGTGTGGAGATAGATAGATAGATAGATAGATAGATAGATAGATAGATAGATAGATAGATAGATAGATAGATAGATAGATAGATAGATATGATCTGTATATAAAATATATAATACATACGTGTTATTAGCATTAAAAATGGCCTTAAAACACCTCTACAGAATAGTCACTTCGTTTGTTTTTTGTTTCTCCATTGCACTAAATCTAAGCTTTCCCTAGTTTCAAAGTCATAAAACACCCATTGCACTTAGTTATGGAAAAAGCATATATGAGGCCTCCCTGGTGGCATAAGGGGTTAAGCCTCAGCACTATGAAGCTACCACAGACACTATAGTAGAGTTCAAACCCCAGTCAGGGTGCTGACCCACATAGCATAACAGACCACTCCTATTTTATCTGCTGCTCCCCTCAGCAGTGTATTTCAGCCAGTCGGCCTGTTCTGCTCCCTATTCTGTCTCTCACCCCCGCACCTCTGGCCTGCACCCCAGCTCTTGCATGCATAAATAAATATTTTTTTAAAGGTATACCTATTTATACACACAGAACTAGGATACAGACCAGAGGTGCAGGGGCAGTGAGAGGATTCACCAGAGACAGAGTGGGGAGCAGAACGGGCAGATCGACTGAAATACACAGCTAAGAGCAGCAGGAGAGACAGGAGAGGTCTGCTGCGCCATGTGGGTCACCTCCCTGGCTGGGGAACAAACTCATGCTTAAAGCAGCTTCAGCCAGCTTCATAGTACTGCCCTTCAACCTGCTATGCCACAAGGGAGGGCCCAAATAAATATTAAAAAAAAAGCAGCAGCATATATGAGAAAACTGTAATTAAGAAGAAATATAAACATAAGTGAAGCTTTATAGGTGACCTAACTGAACCCAGAGTTCTGTTATTCCTGTTCTTAAAAATTACTGTAGAAACAAGGAGGAATGTACCCTATTATACACCAAATTATAATTACCATCATCCAAAAAAAATGAAATATATATTTTATTGGCCCATCTATAAAAGATTTGTGCCTGAATTTTACACTTTACATTCCAAGGAAAAGTCAGTGGGAAAAGGCAATATTCACACAGATATTTAGGTGTACACAAATTTGTAACCAACGGCACATATAAATTTTAAAATTTACAAATACTTTGATAATAGGATTAATTTTCTCCAAGCATCTGTCCCCAAAGAATGTAAAACCTTAATACATTTTATAAAATGTGAAAGTTTTCTATATTTAAAGTTTCCTCAATTGGAAAACTAAGAATTCTATCATTTATGAAATAGATTTAAGTACTTATTTTATCTTAGTTACAGGTTATTAAAATAGTAAAACCTGTGCAGTTAGCAATATTTGGGGAAAAAACTCATCATCTGCTCATCACATTTTGATGTATTCATAGCAGTTGGATAGCACAATCCAAAGTCTGTTATCTCATTTTCTCCCCAGAAATACACCAACAAAATGATTGGTATTAGCTGCAGTTATCATCTGAATACCCTCATTTTTGAAGTGCCAACTGAGGGCAGATATATGTACATGGAGGGAGGGAGAGGTGGGTGGTTGGGTAGGTAGATGGGTGGATGAGTGGATAAGTGGATGGATATCTTTATGTTATAATCTAAGTTTTGTCAGGAAATTCTCTCTTCTTCCTCCAGAAAACCTATAGGGACTTCCGCTTGCAGGGTGTGTTGGAAGGCACGCTGAACAGTAAGACCTATGATACTCTGCACAGACGTTTGACAGTAGAGGAGGCCACCGCATCTGTTTCCGAAGGAGGTGGACTTCAGGGCATCACAATGAAAGACAGTGATGAAGAAGAAGAAGGCTGATAACAAGCAGCCCTGCGGAAGGAAGGAGAAGTGACATTGGTTACTTTGCACCTTGTCCTTGTAGTTACATTGACTGTTTGGACAAAATTAGAATGCTTGTATTTCATTCCACATTTTAAAAAGTATATCATGGGAAGCAGAGTTAAAGAAGAAAATGCTAAGTATTTTTTGAAGAATATCAGCTGCTTTGTGTAGTACAGCCTCCAAGGAGCTTTGACTAAATTTCTGGTTGCAACATGAACTTTTCCTTTTTAGAAGATGTGAGGTGTTTCCCTTGCAGTTACATCCATGTATTGTCCTTTGTGTGCAGTGAAGTGTGTATTCCTCATAGTATTACATTGTGGAAAGAAGCCCCTTCTGATCACTGCGCAGACTCTACTGTTTCGTGTTAAAATCATGTTTACCTGACAGTTTGTCATTCATGTGCCAGGGTTGTTCTGTAGTTCATTTGCCATTGTTGCAATGTATGTAAAACTTTAACCTTGGTTCTTAGTACTCTGAGTTGGTCTACAGGTGTGAAGGATTGTCAGATCCAAATATAGACGAGATTATCCTGTGGGCTTGTGTCTAGTTCTGTTCTGAATATTTCTTTCCAGTGTAAAATAATCCCCAAATGTGGGGAGCTAAGTGTTGCTGCCATCAATCTACCATATCCTCCTACTTCTGTGTGTAACAGCTTGCAGGCAATAAAAAGTCTATTTCGTCATAACCACTTCTGTATTTATTAGGCTTGGATAGGCAAGACTCAGTAAAAGAGGTTTGCAGTTATTTCAAACATCCTGACGGTTGGGCTCTTGTGTTTTTGTTTCTTGTTTATTTATATAGATGGTTTACAATCAAATGAGTAAAAACAGTATCACTGCTTGCCCGTAGGTACATACATTTGTAAAAATTACTACAACATATTTCTATGACAAAAAATAATGTTGCTACATGTTCATATATTACAAATTAGCAACTAATGTTAACTAGCAATCAGTGAAACTAATAATGCTAGTAATGATAACTAACAATTAACATATTAGTTAACAATTCTTTCCCAAAGTACTTTCTATAATTTCAAAAGATAATAGTGGTGTGTTTTGTAATTTCTCAATGAATTTATATTTTTATTTTTTTCTAAAAGATGCTGATCTATTGTGTTATTGTATTCATCAGTAATTTTTAAATGAAGTGAGTTAGTGCAAATTAAGAAGCGATGTCCCTGAATGTTTCTAAGCCTGGATCTTCAAATTCATTCTCAAGTAATGTTATAAATGGTAGGGCCCAGACTAGCCTCCCCCCCAAAAAAAAGTCTGTTTCATCCATGGTTACTATACAGTATTGTTTTTTTTTTGGCTCAATTTAGAGTCCTAAGAGGGTCAGAGATCCTATGAGCCGAGACAAGCATGACAGAGATCTCTTTCCCTTCCCTTGCCTGGTTTAGAGACCATTTCTACCAGTTTCAGTGTCAAAAGGTGACTTATGGAAGACTGCTCCCCTTTCTCCTCTTCTGCCCCTTCATGCCCATTGCTGCCCTTTCTTCATGTACCCTGGAAGCCAGGATGCCACTTTCAACTCCCCAAGTTTGCTGCTGCTCTCCTCAAATGACTCTACCCTTACACACCCTTCTTTTCCTTTAAATAAGATGTCCTTGATAGTGCTCACCCCATCTCATGGTCCATTTTATTCTACAGTATGAGTGACTGATGGCTCCTTCAGCCATTTACAGACATTCAAAGAAGGGTCTGGGGGTGAGCGGGACTGGGGGGTGGGGGGAGTGTGCAGGAGGATTTTGCTGCAGGTCAGCCGAACCTATTTAACCTGCTTCTGCCTTGATATTCAGTTTCTTGTAGTGTCCAGATTTTGGTTTTCTCTGCTCCTTCCCTTTATACCCAGGAGATTTCTTAAAGACGCATTTCCCCCTCCAACCTCCAAAGGCTCCCACAGGGAGGATCACAGGCAAGGATGTGTGATAGAGGTGCTCCCAGGCTTATGAGAACTATTTGAACTAGAACCCCTAACCTACAGGAAATAGTATGAAAAGAAATTTATAAATTAACTCTGAAAAGGAATGAAAAGTCATTTTAGGAATTTTGCCAAGAAAAGCTCTCCGGTATCACTAAATTACTTGAAATGAGTTCATTGTTCATTGGTGTGTGTAACTGTTAGAGTGGAATGCCCAAGCATCTGTCTGTGAAAGGAAGCCGAGTGTTGTTATTCTTTTCTTAAAGTGTTCATTGTAAAGAAAGAAAATTGAAAAACCAGCAAATACTACAAAATGTTTCAATTAAAATCATTTTTAACTCAAGAGAAATAGCTCTACCCTCTCTCCTCTGCTTTTGGAGAAGAGCAACAAAAGCATCTTCTTTGGACAGCTTGGTGTTTCAAATAGCTAGTGCACCCTCACGTCCAGCCGAAATGGGCTTGTTAAATAACATGTAGGAAGAAAGTTTCTCCCAACACTTACCCGAGAAAAAAGGGGGGGGGGGGAAAAAAAACCTTCCCGAAAAGGGAAAGAACCACACAGAGCTTAATGTAAACCTCTGGGCTCCAGCTGTGGGTCGTTCTTACATTCACGGGTTTTTCCACTTGAATTCTCTTTAGTTCTTGCTCATTGTCCCTCGCTCTGGAGAAAAGATTTCCTGCTACTTTTGCAATAAACGCCCTTGCGACTCGTCTGGGCCTCCTACTCGGCCCCCCAGGGTCATTGCCCACCAGACCTCCCGCCACCCCAAACCCTACCCCTCGCGATTTGGCTGAGAGGGCCCCTGAACTGGAAGGTGCTCTTAAGAGGGTGGGAAAGAGGTCATTGTTGGGGCTCAGGGGGCCCCGAAACTCCTTCCTGCCGTCACGTTCTGCCTTCCTGTAGGCGTGCGCCCCGCCAGCAACTGCGGGGTCACCAGCTAGCCGACCCCGCGCCCTGAGGCCAGACACAGCGTTCGGAGCTCCCCCAGCCAAGGCTTCGGTGCTAAAGCCGGAGGGGGGCCAGATTAAAGGCAGAGCGTGGCTTCTTATTTCTTGCTCCAAAGACAGAAAAGGGAAACTTCCCGGCCGAGGTCCTCAAAGGAGGAGGCAGATCGGTGCGGCTGGGAGAGGTGCCTGCGCGGCGGGCGGTGGGCGTCCGGGCGGCGGGACCGCGGCCAGGGCGACGGGCTCTCAGCTCCGCTCGCGAGGCCGCCGCCGCGAGACCCCGCCCGCAGCCTCCGCCTGCCCAGCACAGGCTTTGGCGCGGCAGTTTGGCTGCCTGGTTTGCGCGGGGTCCCCAGCGCGGGGGCCGCGTCTGTCTCAGTGTTAAGTCCTCCCCACGCCCTGGTACTGGTACGCCGCGGGAGACGCGGTGACGAAGGGCAGGCGGTGGGCATCGCCTTTGCCCTTCGAGCCCTGCAAGCTACTGGACGGGACCGTCGGGAAAGGCCGGCGAGGCTGGCCACAGGAGAAGGAGCTGGGACGCCGAGCACAGGAGTCCTGGAAAGGGCCGGGGTTCAAGACTGGCTGGCCAGGTACCCTCAGGAGGTAGCGCTGGCTGGAGGAGGGGGCACAGCACCGCCTTCCTCTGCTCTTCAGTGCAAGGTGTAAGGTGGTTAATGGAGCAGGAGCTATTGCGCCTGTGAGTGCGGCAGCTCTGAACCTGCTTGCCAAAGTCACAGGGACAGTGGCCATGACCCCCAACCCTGTCAGTATATGTGACCGCTTCTGGAAGGCCTGGATTCTGGAATGTGCGTGCATACTGCAGGGACAAGGGGTTGCGGCAATGAAAAATTTGATGTTTTTCTCAAAGAAAATACCTGATTTAAAAAAAAAAAGGAATGAATACACATGATTGTGCTTGGGGAACCGTGAAGTGAAGAGCCCCGGCCTTAAAGCCATCTTTCAATCTTAATAGCTGCACTCACCCTGTTGGCAAGTTACCCAACTTCTCTGTAAAAGGGGCACTTATTCAGGGAGATAGTTGTAAGGATGAGAGGCAAATGAGTTGAGGTCATTAGTATTTCTTAAAGTAGGTTTAAAGTAGAATGGATTCTGCAGAAACCTGGAGTGACTGTATCGCCAGGTGCCCTTCTCTCTGCGGTTGCCACGGGAGACCCTATCATCATGCCTCCCAGGATCATCTGCCCCACCCCTGGCTGTCCATGCAGACTGGCTGGAACTGTCCAGTGGCAAGGTTATATATATACACGGTCAGTTTAGTGGGAGGAGAGGCGGAGAGGGGAGGGACCAGCCAACTCCAGGCTCCAGAAAGGCCATCATAGTGGAGAGCAGGCCAGAGCTGCAGTTGGGAGGGAAAGCAGCAGGACACATGTCATTGTGTCTGCAGCGAGAAGTTGCTCAGGGGCTCTGACCGTGACACAGTATGATCCCGAGGCGCCAGATCCCAGATGAGGAATCCCAGGTGTGGGCTTGTGCCCAGTAGGCTGAGTTCAAGAGTATTGCAGAGGCAAATCAATACTCATTGAGGTTCTCTGAAGTTTGAGGCCCAGGGTGGCATCCTGATACCCAGACCCGAGATGTATCCACGCTGTGCATGCTTAGAAAGTGCCAAGCAGAAGGAAGAGAGGCCAGAGGAGGTTGCAAGACACAGGGTGCTCCCCAAGATGGCCTCGGCCTTGGCACCCAAAGAATAGGACTGGCAAATCCAGTCCCCTCTGAGCCCTGTCCTGGCTGGTAGTGCTGAGCTGGCTGCACTTCTGGCTGCCAGGAAAACCTGCTAACAGCCTTTTCTGTTTGGGGGGGATGGAGAAGGGCAAGTCTATGTCTAGGGAGCAGCTCTGGTGGTGCTGGGGGGGGGGCTGGTGGTGGTAGAAACTGATCACCACCAAAGGAGGAGATGGGGCACCCAGCTTTAGGATAAGTCTAGAGCAGCTTTTTTTTTTTTTTTTTTAAGGTGAGCAATGTTCCTCAAGCCCGTCTTGTTCTACAATAGTCAGCCAGCAGCTTCCGGGCCCAGACCAAGGAGGTACAGGGCTCACACCACACACACACACACACACACACACACACACACACACACACCATTCCACTATATCTTTAATCTCCCTGGACTTTTCCACTCTATTGGGTGCTTGTATTTGTGGGAAACTTTTTAAGATTAGCAAATAAACATAGTCTAGACTTACCTGGAGTCTTCCACAGTGTGTTTCCCTAGGGTGATGGCTCCCAAGTCGAAGAGGAAGTGAAGAGTTGACTTCAAATTCTTGAACCACAAGATACTCTTTCTATGCCCTGACACAGGCTCCTTTATGAATGTCCCCACACACATACATAATACATAACTTTAAAAAATAAAGGTGGTGTGTCCAGTACTTCTTTTTCTGTTTTAAATCCATTTTGGTTTGCTTTTTAACATGACCTCCCTACACCCAACAAGTAATACTTCTCTAGGGGCAAGGGACAGGGTCAAAAAGCTTAAATGTTGGATTTTATTGTTTAGATCATTTCCTTAAACTGCCAAGAAAGCAAAACTAATTGTAACTTTAGAAGATTTTGCTAAGCATGTATAGAAATTTTCAATACTGTTTCTTCACAGAGTAAAACATCAAGACCCAACAGCCTGGATTTCAGACAGTGGATGAACAGAAAAGTCAGGACAGCAGGTGACTGTGGCAGGGTGTGGCTTTGTGAGGCCTTCCCTGCAGGAAATCCAGGTAATATTTTTTTAAAGAGACACTTCAAAGTCGCCCCATCGAAGAAGACCCTTTATTGTTATTTGTCAGACTGCCGAGTTCTTGTTACATTGTGTGATTGCTGGGTGTGT